TGGTGATGATGATGATAATGATGATGACGATGATGATTATGATGATGATATTATTTTGATGATGATCACGATGATGATTTACTTTTAGATATCATTTATAATAAGCGGCATTCTACATAATGTTCATACAGTTATTTACTAGTTTCAATATTTTTGTACAATGCTAGTTTCCAGTTTCTTCTACTGTGGAGAAGCTTTTGTAGTTTTTAAAGGAGCCCCGTCGAGGTCAAAAAGCCTAAAAACGTAAAATTTTAAATTCTTACATAGATCAAGTGAAGTACTTTAATGAAAATATCTGAAAAAGGAATTCAATTGAATACCGTTTTTTTTTGTGCGATTCTTCCGACCTCCATCAAATGGTACACAAATCTTGGAAAAATATTTCCAGTCCCGTCATGTCAATTTAACTGAGTGGAGTCCTTTTAAACAATTGTTCAAATATTCTGTTAGTCAATTATTTTCGGAATTGATTTATTTTTCAGTAACTTTTATTATGCTCTAGATTATTATTTTTTTCAAAATAGTGTCTTAGTTTTTACTATGTTGTAGCAATTGAACTTTTTTTCAGAACACACTGACACCCTTTCAGATAAAGGTACTAAATTGATGTAAATAGAAAATAATGATAATATTTATCAATGACTTTTTTGACATATCACTTTACATAGATTAATGTTAACTATCAGGTCTCTCACCTTGAAATATGAAATTATAATAATCAAAACAGTACTAAGGTATCTTTTTTAAAAATGAGCCCAAAATTCAGGGTCATAGTATAGGTAAGGAACGTTGTATTATCAATATCTATGATTTGAAAATAAGATTTATCAAAATATACTAAATACCTATCTAGCCTATACTTATATATACAATTTATTTTTACATTTCAGACAATATTTTGAATAAAAAAAAGGACAGCTAACACTGGTTGTTATTATTTGGGTTAAGTTTTATTTCCTCTAATTTTATTTATTTATTTATTTATTTATTTATTTATTTATTTATTTATTTATTTATTTATTTATTTATTTATTTATTTATTTATTTATTTATTTATTTTTTTATTTATTTATCTATTATTATAATTATTTTTATTTATTTATTTACTACTATTTTTTATTTTAAATTTGTATAAATACTATTGATAACAAATGGGGGTAACAAATAAAAATAAAACATCGTTTGGTGGGCTCTGAATTTGCATCATTTCCGACTGCCTTCCTGAATCATTCAAGTGTTCCGATATTAACGCACGTGTTATATGGTCACGTGATTCGAATCCAGTGGAACTAGTATTTAAGCAATATTAAAGCACAGTTTGGTTGGGCTACTGTGCATCAGAGAAACAATCTGTTTTAAATAAGGAGCATGTTAAACAAAAAGCAACACCGACAACAACAACAACAACAACAACAACAAAACTAAAAAAAAGTTTGCCCCAGGTATCAGAAGACAATGACCATTTCGGTAAATTAGCCAAAATATCTATCGACTAATTACAATTATCTGAAGTCTGTTGTAGTACAAATATAGTGATTTAGTTATTTGTATGGTCAAAGTCAAAAGACTACATTTTGTGACTATTATAAAAATATTTTCGCTTCCAGTGCTACTTTCTTCAAGTAATAAGCATCTAACTTGCTCTAAAAAACAGTAAATGTTATAAAACTCATGTTTGCTTTTTTCTAAAGAAGAACAAATTTATTCATTTCTGGGGCATAATGTGTGTTTAATGTTTTCAGCAACAGGAGTGATTTTTCTTCTAGTAAACATAAAAGAATTTTATATATTCGACAAAAGTATGCGAGAAATTTGATAAGTGTTCCTAAGCAAACCTAAGGAGCAGATATTATTCACTTTGTAAAACGTTCTAATTCACAACAAAATAAAGTGAAACAGGCCTTGTTTGAATGAACCTGTTCATGGACAGTATACTGGTAAGTGCAAGCTATCGTCCACACCCCCTAGCACCAGCTAAAGCAGATTTCAACATTTTAACATGGGAATACTGAAAGTTTGAATTAAGAAACATCAGTACCGATGTGTTCATACGGCGCTTATCAGATTATCATGGAACATTCAATGTGACAGATTCGTGCCATTCCATGAACAGCTTGGTATGATCCGAACATCACAGAATGTTTTACACACTAACAATGGGCTGAACTAAATAAAAATGGAATTTAATTTAGACAAAGGATCACAGGTTATAGATCCTGCGTTACGAACATACGCGATTCCTAACCTTAAATTCTTGAATTAAAATTGAAAACAATATTATAAAGGAAGGAACTTATTTGGTTGGTAATTATGCTTTGTCTTATTTTTTTCCTGATGCACCGCGGAGCAAAAATACGAACGTCAGGAATCAGCCATCATAGAAATTAAATAAACATCTTCATCAACAGAAAGTAGAAGAATTAAGAAGCTCCACTGAAATTAAAAAGCCTAAAAACATATCTTTTTTTTAATTCTGACATAGATCAAGTGAACCACTTTAAAAATGGAAACGGCGTGGCAAATATTGGTTTCGTTAATTATACTGTTGACGCATGCGCATTAAAGATACCAGATATATTAAACATTATAATAGATTTTATACTATTTTATCAAACTATATCACGACTATCGTTTAGCAGATTCAGCACTTACAAATAAAAAGTCGCTATATGAACAGATTTTCATTTCCGAAGTCCAAATGTCATTTAACCCAAAGAAGGCAGTAAGAAGTACATAATAGTGAATCTTTTGAAATTTATTTTCCATTTGTACTTTTAAAAATTTATTTTCATTTCCGGTACCGGAAAGTCGGAAAGTTAATAAACTCTTGGAAAGCAAACAAAAGAACTTTTATTTGTTTGGAATTTTAAAGTACACAGCACTTTAAGGATTGTTGGGAAAATATCGTTTTACCTTCGTAAACTACTGCTAAATTGTTATTACATATCAAAGTCTGAACGACATTTAAAAACATTTAAACATTTATTTTGTACTCATCGTTATAAAGTTTGTACTAGCGTTTTAATACAAAACTGGTTTTGTACATTTATTGTTCGCTCGAATGATTCGAGCTGTATATAATCAGGTTTTTCATATTTGAAGTGAGCAACTCTTCGGGACAAACTCTTATTCAAATTCATATTCAATGCAAAAATTTTTTTGTGATAAGTACAGTTTCTAAAGTGTTCAAGTTTTGCGTTTATTTTTTGGATAGCTATAATTTATTTTGACATACTACATAAAATGCATTGTTTAAATATAACGCAAGAATGAGGCACATCATTCGGTGGTATTTGACAGTCACTTTCCTCTGATGGCAAATGGGCAAAGGTTACCTAAATATTTCCCCTTAAATAGCACTGCAATCAAATATAAAATTTATATGTTTTTGTTTTGTTTTTGCTTTTTTCCTGGACGAGTTGACCACGTTTTACAAAGCATTTATATGACAGAGATTTTATTAATCAATTACAATATTTATTGCTTTATGCTATATTTGCATTTTTGTTATGTCATCTTGTATACTGTCCCTAAATACAAAAAGCGTTCTCGCATATTGCATTCGAGTGTGAAGTTGTTAGTTCTTGTTTCTTAGTCTTCAACAATAATAAGGCAATCACGTTTTGTGTACTTTTAAAGTAAAACTTTTATTCCTTTTTTTATTCTGGGAAGGGCTTTTAAAATGTTGATTATATGTTTGGTTAATGATCCATTTTTTTTCAAATGTTTTCTTATCTGTTTCTTTGATATGCTTTTGCATTGAATGTACTCTACACTTGTTATAGCGTATATTACTTAAAAGGCCCATTTTGCCAAAGGACTGCTTTCTTTTTTCTTACTCATTTTTTGTTTGTTTTTGTTTATGTGTCCAGCTACAATTTCCAGAAAGTAACTCACATGCCAATTACCTGAACCGTTGTACGCTTCTGTTGCTATTTTTTGGCAATTTGGCAATTTAAGTGATTTAGTAATTTGCATGGAAGTCAATTACCACTATGCTTACATTTTGCTACCTTTACAACACACTTTTTTACGTTCATCACTTCTTTCTTTAGGTAATTTTGCTTTAAACATCAACTATTCTCTTATATTTAAACGTTATAAAACACATGTTTACCCTTTTCAAATAAGAAAAAAAAAAAGAGTTGTTCAATGCTGAGGAATGACGTGCCTTTAAAGGCAATGAAATATGATATTATATAAATACATCCACCAAGCACGTACCCGTATTTTCATTACATGAAAGTATTCACATGTATCATTGGCAGGATTCGAACTCGGCGACCAGGGACAGGCGATTAGATGTCAGCAACCTTAACCATGCACTCTGTAAGTCTTACCTAACACGGAATAACTTATTTTGTTTCAAGTGGATCTCCCTGGACTAAAGATTTTTACTCACACCAGCAGTTTGCCGAGACAGTAATAGGTATCTCTTTCTGCATCCTATGTCTTTAGTAATCCCGCACATTCTGGAGTTTTTGATTCGCATACATAGTGCTGGAAATATAAAACTGATAATAGTCGATGGGAGGGTTTATACGTAGCTCAGCGTGAGGTTTTGCACAGTTTACTTTCTCAAACAGTCTTCAGTTTTAACCCTAAAGTTCCAGATAGCTTTTTTGTTGCCCATTTTTTGATATTTCTACTTTTTCAGGCTTCACTATTCTTTACAATCCTTGAAATTCTTCTTTTTTTGGTTTGTGTTTTACGTCGCACCAGCACAGTATTGTTCATGTGGTAACGTTACAGCTTTACTGGTGGAGGAAGACCTCAAGTGTCCTTTCGTTCATTATTTCAGGCAAGAACGGGCACCTGAGTAGAACCACCGACGTTCCGTAAGCTAGATGGATAGCTTCCAAACTCCATAGCGGGATTCGAGCCCACATCGGATATGACCTCCACGACCTTAACCAATATGCCACGGATGCCCCTTATTTTTCTCTACACTCCTAGGCTAGAAAATCAATTTTGTATATATAGTAGTAAACAACCATGGCTGTATGTTTCATTTTTTTATTGATGCCAAATTGTTTTATACAGTGTCTATTTTGTATTTTTTTATATAAAGTTGTGCATCAGATAAAGTATTGTTCAAGAATATTGTACATCCAAGTTACGTTTAAACCACGGTACATCTACTTATATACATATTGTAAATACTGAAAAAAAAAACATCATTTCATTTTCAGTCGAAACATCTTTAAACAAAATCAAGTCCTCTAACAAAACCCATGTTTACTTCAAAGCAAGAAAACAACATATATAACAACATGTAAAAAATAGTTCAATGAAAAAAATGTGTTTCCAACTTAAAGTGATACACCCATCATTATGCGTGAAAATTTAGTCTCGTCACACCCACACGTCTTTCTAAGATCGAATAAGCGTTTCTCTGATAATGAACAACATCACATCTTGTCACCTAAACGCTTCCAAAACAAATCAAAATAACTAGAATGATGCCCAGTGAAAGATTTTAAAACGTAAATTTACAATCATAATGAACCATGGACGTATCACCTCATATCATTTGGACCCTTACCTACAATATACAGACTTATTTACTTATTCACCTTGCTTCTCAAACTCAGATAATTCATTCCCCTTACTTCCAGGTCCATATTTTCTTGTTTTTTTTCTCTACTAACAAAATTCACAATGTCTATTTCCTTGCTCTCTCAAAAATGAACATTCATTTCCCTTTGCTCCCTAATTTTACATTTTAATTTCCCTCGCTACTTGCATCCACACATTAACTTCCCTCACTCCTTTAGTCAGAATTTCATTTCCAATACTTCCTTAATACAATTGTTCCCATTATTCACATATTCATTTCTTTGATACACACATTCGCATGTTTATTTCCCATGCTCTCAAAAGTTAAATTTTCATTTCCTCCATAAATATTAACTTTTTTCACTTAAATACAAGCAGTAACTGTATGGCAAATGCCTATAGCAACTAAAATAATAATAATAACAACTTATCATCATTAAAACAAAAATGGGAAATTCATATTTTCAAGCAAGAATTTTGACAAGGGAGTTTCTTAAGAGAAACTAAGGAAAACAAAAAGAATTTTATCTCTTGTTAACTAAATGCATTCTGTTTGGGGCTATCTTTTTAAAGTATTCATTAAGAAAACAATATTAAAAGTATGTAAAGAGCACATAAAAATAATGTAGAAAATGTAAAAAAAAAAAAAAACATGCAAAAAAAAAATAAGGCAGTGTCATAAAATAATAAATGGAAAGGGAGAGCATGCTGTCGTCATTAACAAGTGTACATGTAGTATACATGGCAAGGGAAGTAACTCATGCAAATAAATGTTTCAAAGCAGGACCCTAGACATATGAGCCACGTCATGACAAAACCAACGTTATGCGTTTGTGACCAGAATGGAACTAAACCAGCCTGCGCATCTGCAGTCAGAAGGATCCATGCTGTTCGCTATTATTTTCTCTACTTGTAAAACGGAACAGCATGGATCCTGATCAGACTGCGTGGATACGCAGGCTGGTCTGGATCCATGCTAGTCGCAAACTCACTATGTTGATTTTGTCATGATGGTTTTTAAAACAGTAAATAGGGTAACATACTCATACAAATAAAGGGAGAAAAAAACAACAGAATTCCGGCTTTCAAAATCTCTTCTTGGCACAAAACACATTTTGATATTTTAATAATTTTAATGACACCTTAAAAAGTACCTGAAGTATTTTCCTTTTTGTTTCGACCTCATAAAAAAAGAAGGAATTGCTACTGGCAATGCTTGGTTTCAAACATGACAGTAAACGCTCTCTCTACAAAAAAACTCCGTCCTTGTTGTTGACATACAATAACACATATTTGCCCTTTCTCGAAAAAAAACAACAAAAAAACAATTCATTTCTGATGCACAATGTGCCTTTAAAGATGGTCCATTTAAAACATAACATGTATGTAATATTTGCTATAAACACACACATCTACAAAAAAACTACAATTTTTCTTAATGTAATTAATCAATTTTTTTTTTCTTTATAAACATACATGAATTTGAAGACCATCTCTTCACTTAGTATGTCACATAATTAAATATCAATATTAACCAATGTAACTCAACGTTTTCAGTATTAACCAAACCAGAAATAGTTCAAAATAATTATTAAACCAGCTCTACTTGATAAGAAATATTCACCTGACAAATATTCACCAAATGACTTGACTAATATTCACAAAACGCCTAAACAAATATTCACAAAACAAAAGAGGCTTTACAAATATTCACCAATAAAGCCATATTTCAATTCAACAATGTTTACCAAACCAGCAAAACTTACAGAATGTTCACCAAACCAGCAAAACTTACCATACCGAATGTTCACCAAGCCAGCAAAACTTCATGAATGTTCACCAAACCAGCAAACTTACAGAATGTTAACCAAACCAGCAAAACTTACTGTACCGAATATTCACCAAACCAGCAAAACTTCAAGAATGTTCACCAAACCAGCAAAACTTACAGAATGTTCACCAAACCAGTAAAACTTCAAGAATGTTATTCAAATCGGCCAACCTTAAAATGCTTTCACTAAACAAAGTTTAAGATTTCTTAAATATTCACCAAAACCAGTAGGACTTCAGCGAAATTATTCAAAAACATGGTCTGCATGTCTCCTCATATCTCAAATACCTCATAATCTGATATATCATATATATATGAATATTCATCACTAGCAAAACTTCATTAATATTCACTAGCTGTGACTACTACTTCATTAATATTCATAAGAATTAACATTCATAATAAGTGTCATAGATTTTTCAATGCCTTCATGTAAATATATAACATATCATAATTTTTAAAATACATGTGATTACTTCACACCTGAATAGTGCATGCCTTTATCCTAGAATTAAAACCTTTAATCAGGACACTCAAAGTTGAATAAATCATACATTGTCCTATAAAGTAGCTTTCTAAAAATGCCCATCTCTTATATATACAGTTGAATTCATTTTCTTTAGACTCCAGTCTGTTTGACATTAATATCAAGTATGCACACTTTAAACAATTGCTCATTTCATTTAAAATATGTACACTAAACTCAACTTCGTGTTTTTTTCACTGTGTAGCTCATATGTTCAGAATTAAAGATATGTTCACAATTTTAAAAACTGAATGACACTGTCAGGCTGACTTGATATATATACGATGCTTGTAATAACTATGTACACACTCCAAAATATGTTCACAATCCCAAATATGTTCACAATCCCACAAGGAACTCTCATCCTAAACATGTTCAACATGGTCTCAATCTATTTATATCTCAAGTCATGTTCACATCTGACAACTATTTACACTCCTTGTATGTTCACAATTATTTACTCTTTTCACCAGTAAAAAAGGTTATGTTCTTCCTAAGTATCATTTTTCTTAAGTATCAGAATGTTCACAAGTTTAAACATTCCAAAATCCAGACATGTGCTCTCCACATAAACATGCAAGCAATTATAAACATGTTCACAAAAAATCTAAACATGTTCACAAAAATATAATCATGTTCAAAAATCTTAACATGTTAAAATAGTTTACAATGTTTTTAAAGTTAAACATGAAGACATACCTAAACATGTTTTTTAAAATCTAAACATGTTCTCAAAATTCAAACATGTTCAAAAATCTAAACATGTTCACAAAATCTAAACATGTTCACACATCAAGCATATTATGCATAAATCGCCACAGCCCTCACTAATGAAATCCTGTTCACTATTTACCTATGTCTATCCTTCGTCAAAAATGTTCAAACCAGTAAAAGTCATAATTATTTCCATGGTTTGGGACATCCATCCAGTCCTGTTTATGAACATGTTCATATGTTCATAATCTAAGCATGTTCATTGCTCACAAATGTCAACATGTTCAAACACCCAGCATGTTATGTAATTCATCATCGTCCATGATCTCTTCCTCGTCCGATTCTTTCTTCTTGTCCACCACCTTGGCTTTGCTGGACTTTACTTTATCTTGACTGTCGTCAGACGTAGGTTCAGCTGGGTCGTACATGTTCACCTCCTCTTCTTCTTCTTCTTTATCAGATATATCCTTACTTATTCCAGCAGAACCCTGAATGATGGCTGCTATTCTAGCATCAAGATCCTCTCTCTGTCAATAGGCAAGAATGAAAAATAATTCTTTATATTAGGAGAAATGGTTAAAAACATGGTGAAAAATAACAAGCTTATAGAATTTTATATTGATTTTTTTTTTTGCAATTTCCAAAACAACCTGATGATTTCTGAAGGGGAAAATATGGCACAATAAATCAGAAAAGGGGGAAAACCTGAAATCAAATTCAAACAACTGAGAATGTAATTTACCCACACATATTAATTTTTTTTCAATTTCAATTCAATTTACCATGCATGGTACAAAGTAACATAGCAGAAGCTATCTTCTAGCTAATGTAGGTCAGCTGCTGTTAATTCATGGTTCTGGTGAAGAATGTGCACAGGGCATTTCAGGGGAGGGAAAAAATGCATTATTAGGGGAAAATATACCTATTTTGGGGCTAGGGGAAACAGCCTTTAGTCAGCTGTAATATACAGGGAAAAAGATCACTGTGATATTTCAACAATCAAGGCCAGGGATCATTTACCATTAACCTGGAGAGTATCTTACCCAGCTTCAATATTTGTAATTGTCCATTATCAAGTATAGGGATAGGATATCAAAATAACATTTAAAAGCTAGTGTATTATTTAAAACTTCTCATCTTCAATGTCTATTCTAGGATGGGTGGATTCACTCATATTTTTGAGAATTCGTCCCCTATTTTTTTTCCAGTGGCAGGGGGAGAAATTTTACATAGAGAAAGAAGGAAAAAGATCAACAAATGTAAAATAAATTCTCATTTATTGATAAAAATCTCCCCTGTTTTTCGAATCCTAGAATAGACACTGATCTTTCCCGTCTTTTAAGTATACCTGTACACTGACCTCATTCTCCATCTCCGAGTCGCTCTTGAAGTCATCTTCCGCCGTCAACTCGCTGTCGGCCTCCGCCATCTTTGCTATAGAGTGTAACATTTCCGACGCTTTCGCCAGCGTTGCTAGCCTGTCGTCTAAATCTGTGTCCGTCCTGAGAAGTAAACAAAACAGACTTACAATTTATACATATAATTATGTAATTACATTTTTTTTTAAACACAGTAATTTTCTTTGGCACTTAATATAAACCTTTTTTTTAGGTCATTAATAAAAACGGAACGTGATAAGCTCTCCTTAGATCTTAATCATTGTATGAAGTGACATTTTGAATATTATATTATATATTTAACATGTACATTACATAAATACATGTACATTACATAAATGCATGTACATTACATAAATACATGAACATTACATATATGCATGTACATGACATAAATACAAGTACATTACATAAATGCATGTACATTACATAAATACATAAATATTACATAAATACATGTACATTACATAAATGCATGTACATTACATAAATACATGTAAATTACATAAATACTTGTACATTACATAAATGCATGTACATTACATAAATACATGTAAATTACATAAATACATGTACATTACATAAATGCATGTACATTTAATATATAAATACATGTAAATTACATAAATGCACAAAGATTACACAAATACATGTACACTACATAAATACATTTACATTACATAAAAACATGTACATTATATAAATACATGACAAACTGAAAACTACCTTCATTTATTAGCTGAAATTAACTATATAATAACTATCTATATGAGTAAAAGTTAATTAAAATGATTTTAAATGAGTGGAAATATACTATATGGCTTTGCTCTAGCTATGAGTGGAAATTATCTTCTTAAGATATACTACAAGTGGAAATTTACTAAAACTATTTACACTGAGTGGAAATTAACTACATGTATAATGAAATACTATGAGTGGAAATTAACTTTAATAATCTATTATAACTGGAAATTAATTATAATCCTTCACTATGAGTGGATATTAACTATATAGAGAGGGAAATTAGCTACATCAAATCTCTATAGTATATACGTTTAAATTCATTGAAATGATTCCGACTATTTACCTGTCATCAGCAGATTCAGCTGACATGTCATTTTGTGCCGTGTCCGCCAGGTCAAGTTTCGGAGAGAAATTATGTGGATTGAGATCATCCTCTGTATCGACATTTTGCGATGTTTTTGCGTCGCCCTCGACAATTTTCTCAGTTGTGTCCATTTCACTATCAATTGAACCGTTTTTAGCACTTTCTAAATTTGTACCGATTGTTTTAGCGTTATCACTTTCACTATTATCCGGTTGAGTCTCACCATTCTGAATGTCCGGTTCATTTTCTGTAGGTCTATGATTCGAAACTCCGTTCACAACAACGTTGTTTTGGATCTCCGTATTTTTCGGTGAAGTTCCATCCTCCAATAAATCTAAACCTGGAATTGTGACACTACTGCTAACATTAAAACCGGAAAAAGTTGACATGTTTAATAACGCTGACTCATTGCCCGGGTTTTCCGTGTTTTCTTTATTTTCTGTGTTCTCTGATTGGCCGGTCTTTTCCTGAGCTTTTCGTTCCTTCATTTCTTTAATTATCTGGAAACATATGAACAGATATTAACAAGAGATGCTTTTAAAATAAACCAGAATTTATTCAGCAAAGTTTTAACAAAATTAGTAAGTTCCCAGTGCTTGTCACTTAAACAAGAACCTTAAAAAAAGTTGGACTTAACAGACAAGATTTCATTCACAAATAAATACATGATATGACATTATTTCAGGCACAAGTTGGCACCTGAGTAGAACCACCTACTTCCTGTTAGCTGCTTGCTGGATAGTTTTCTCACATGAAAGAAATCGAAGATGCAGGTGCAGACCTAACTACAGTGGTAAGAGGCAAGTTGTTTAAATTCAACAGCTGTAACCACTCAACCACAGATGCCCTGCTTACAAGAATTAATGAATCAACAGTTCCTGGCAAATCAACACCCATAGCAGTTACAAAGAAGTGATCTTATACAAGTAAACTTAATCATCTGGGCATATTGGCTGAGGTAAACCAGCATGGTGGCTTAAATTAAACAAATAATGGGCAGTGATTTTTCCTTTTTAGGAGAATGGTGGCGAAGCCAATGGAGAAGGATAGACTGTGTCGCACAGGAAACTAGAACTCCCCGAGTCGGATGTGTCGCCTTGTGAACAATGTAGTTTAGGAGAAATGGCCAGGACAAAAATGAAATATGAAAAATAACAAAGGGCAATAACTAAAAAAATAATAAGTGCAGAGCAGCAGTTTCTGTGCACTGTACTTCTTATCAATAAGATCTATCATTTTATGATGTTTCAAGTCCATAGCTTTCATACTTGAGGAGAAATGACCATGACAAAAATAAAGTAAGAAAATCAACAAAGGGCAATAACTCAAAAAATAAGAAATGCAGAGTATCAGTTCATATGCACTGCACTTTTTCTTAATGAGATCTATCATCCTATGAAGTTTCAAGTCCATAACTTTTATACTTTCGGAGGAATGGCCTGGACAAAAGTGAAGTATGAAAATTAACAAAGGGCCATAACTCAAAAATTAAAAAATGCAGAGTACCTGTTCTTGTGCACTGCACTTCTTCTTAATGAGACCTATCATCCTATGAAATTTCAAGTCCATGGCTTTTATACATTAGGAGAAATGGCCCGGACAAAAATAAAGTATGAAAATTAACAAAGGGCAATAACTCAAAAATTAGGGAGTGCAGAGTACCGGTTCTTGTGCACTGCACTTCTTCTTAATGAGATCTATCATCCTATAAAGTTTCAAGTCCATAGCTTTTTTTGTTGAAGAGAAATAGCCCGGACAAAATTAAAGTATGAAAATTAACAAAGGGCAATAACTCAAAAAAATAAGAACTGCAGAGTACCGGTCCTTGTGCACTGCACTTCGGGTTATTGAAAGAAGCATGCATACCAAGTTTGAAGTAAATCAGACTTATAGTGACTGTGTTATGCTTCGGACAAGCTTTAGGGGCCGCCGCCGCCGACAACGCCGACAAAAGTAACCCCTATATGTCACCTTTTCAAGGCGACACAAAAAGGGAAACTTAGAAACCAACATTAAACCAACGTTAGAAAACAGCTCATTTTATGGAAAATGTGATATAATACCATAATTTTTATATGCCCTTCTCTGTCAAATATTTTGATAAAATGGATCTAAAAAATTCAACCCAAAATTGGTCGTAAAAAACTGATCACTGTTGGTATACTCACTTCTTCCCCTGGTAATCCATCTCCCAATAGAAACAATTGTTTAAATTTACTGTAGATATATTCTGCCTTCTTCTTAATCTGTTCACTTCCTTTATACTTTCGACACTGAAATAAAAAAAGACATCATTGTAAATACAACACTGAAAAAAAGGAACAACAACATTACACCATTGTACTTCCGGGACTGAAATAAAACACGATACTATTATGTTCCTTACACTGAAATCAAACTCCACACCATTGTGTTCCTTATACTGAAATCAAACTTCTTCTGAAAACTGCCATGAAACCAGGTTTTTTAAACTGGAAACCATTTTTCTATTTTAAGTTACTGTGACCTTGATCTTAGCGGGCCAAAAAAGCAACCCAAAGCGAGGTCTCTACAGTAGGGGGCTTGCCATATACAGAGTATATTTACAGTATCAGGTTCCAAACTCTAGTTATCGACCGAGAACCTTCAGTAATATTCACAGTTTTACTTCGTCTTGTGAATCGTCACTTTTGACTTGAGGATCGGATCGCCATCTGGCAGGCAATACTTAGCTCTACCACACATTATTTACAATATTTGAGGGACGCTCTTCTTGAAAATAGAAATAACAATCCTCAGAACATGTACAAGTAACTGCTTACAAATATATAAATGACGAATGCTAATTTATCAATCCATTCTGCTAATTGAAATCTTACACGATCATTTATCAATCCATTCTGCTAATTGTAATTTTACACGATAATTTATAATGTATCTATGCAGGATGATTATTAACTATTCAAATTAAATAAATATTAGCTAGTAAGAACACTGAATAGTTAAAATTTGATTGAACATTTCCTGTTATTCGAATGGTCAGGGACCCTATGCTAAACCATTATGCACAAATTAATTAAACACAGATGAACACAATGGCTAAGGAGGCAACAACAACTTCATAAAAAAAACCATTATTTATTAAATATCAGATTTAGCTAAAAACTAGAAATGTGTCCATAGGACACGGGTGCCCCCACCGCGACACTGTTCTGTCAATCTTTTTACTAAGTCAAGGGAAATTACTCTACAAATACTGGATAAATCCACAAGCAAAACCCCAGGTGCAAATCTAAAATATGCTGAGCAACCTGCCTATAGGTTAAATGACAATGTCAAATCCTTTTTGAGAAACTTGCGACACAAGTTGAAAATTGCAAAAATTTTCTAAGTGAAGGGCAATAACTCTAAAAATACTAAATAAATCCAGACGAAAATACCTGGTGCACAACTGCACATGCTAATCAATATTCCTGTAAAGTAACATGACTCTAGGTCAAATACTTTTTGAGTTACCTGCGACACATGTTGAAAATTGCAAAATTTTACTAAGTCAAGGGCAATAACTCTGAAAATAATGAAAATTTCCAAACGAAAATACCCAGGTGCACAACTACACATGCTGATCAACATTCCTGTAAAGTTTAATGACTCTAGGTCAAATACTTTTTGAGTTACATGCGACACAAGTTGAAAATTGCAAAATTTTACGAAGTCAAGGGCAATAACTCTGAAAATACTTAAAATATCCAAAAGAAAATACCCAGGTGCACAACTACACATGCTGATCAACATTCCTGTAAAGTTTCATGACTCTAGGTCAAATACTTTTTGAGTTACATGCGACACAAGTTGAAAATTGCAAAATTTTACTAAGTCAAGGGCAATAACTCTGAAAATACTAAAAATATCCAGACGAAAATACCCAGGTGCACAACTACACATGCTGATCAACATTCCTGTAAAGTTTCATGACTCTAGGTCAAATACTTTTTGAGTTACATGCGACACAAGTTGAAAATTGCAAAATTTTACTAAGTCAAGGGCAATAACTCTGAAAATACTAAAAATATCCAGACGAAAATACCCAGGTGCACAACTACACATGCTGATCAACATTCCTGTAAAGTTTCATGACTCTAGGTCAAATACCTTTTGAGTTACGTGCGACACAAAAGTGAACGGACGGACGGAAGGACGGACGGAAGGACGGACGGAAGGACGCACGGACAGACGGACGGACAAGGGTAAATCTAAATGCCCGCCACTAACGTGGGGGCACAAAAAACAAAAACAAAAAACAACAACAACAACCACCAATGTTTTTGGTTAAGAGTGTATATAGCTAAATAACTTATGCAAAAATTATTGTTTGGATTAAAAAAAAAAAAAAACATACATCACAAATGCTTGTATGAAATAAAAATGGCAATACAATTGCTTAAAATGAGTGGGGCATGCACAAAGTCATTGCTTTTTTGGATAAAACCCTACTTTAAATAGCAAAATAAAATTTTCTGGAACATTTTTTTCTGTTTACGTACATTATTCATATGTTAAAAATTTCAGAGACATTCTACATTACTACTCTCTCGTGGATCAACCATACAATAATGGAACCAATATAATTTAACTTATTTCATGTAAGATATAGATTTCTACCCTTTAAACATTTTAATTCAAGCTTGCTTGCTAAACAAGTTTTTGCAACTTATTCACTCTGGAGTCTGCTTCCTGGAACCAACCAGTACTGGTGTCGCATGAAGAAACATTGTTGTGACTCAACTAGGGCTTGAACCCATGATCCCTGGTTTGAGAGGCAGACACCTTAACCACTTGGCCAACACTCATATGTTTTTCTAAAATCGATTGAAAACAAGATGGATATTTTGTAAAAACATTTTAAATAATCATGAACAAACACATAGGAGCAGCTAAAATTAATATACTTTTGTTATGGACCACCACAAACATCGTGATTCCATAATTATTGAATGTGCAGAGTACAAATGTTGTTACTTAATCATTCCCCCCCCCCCCCCATGGTGATAACAATTGTTTGTCATGTAATACTTAAAGTCAAGGCTTTTGTTATGAATCATAGGTAGGATTGTTTTTACAGTAAAGAATATTTGCCCGCAGTAGGGGAGATCATTTTCTGCCTACGATACTGGGCTATCCCATATATATATATGAGGGATGATAAAAAATTAACCGGACTTTGTAAATGATTCTTAAACTGTTAAATGAATTTACATAACAATACACAGAAAATAAATCGCAATCTATCCCCTAAATAATACAAAAATGCCAACAAGAAATATTAGCAAAGAAAAAAGTTATGCTGTTATTGGCATGCACATGTAAAGCAATGTGGCGCACGGTATAACTTTAAAATTGACGTTATCGACGTCACAAGCGTATTGTCCTTATAACGGAGCAGATTTTTACTCATTCACGGAGTAGGCCAATATGTGGTACAGTCATGTTATTGATGCGGCGGATCCCCTGCCTATATATATTTCTGTACAAGTGGGTATCATATTGTATTGTAATAGAATGAATGGTGATAAAGAGCTCCTGTAATGACACAAACCTCCGTTATTTCCTTCTGTAACTTGATTGTTGAAAAATTCGCACATGCAATTAACTATATTATGTATTACAAATAATGTAAAATAATGTTGCTGAATTATAATGTATCATACATACGAAAAAATAACAGAATAATACAACTATGATCAAAATTGCCATTATTTTAAAATAAATAAAACGCATAGCCAATTTGAACAGTGGCTGTTAAATTGTTGCGAAATTTCTCCATAAAACTACTGCGTAAAATAAGAAAAGAAATGATACAATTGTAAACCAAGAATACAATACATGTAATTAATGCATTAACTATTATCATTTTAAGATCCTCAGAGTTGACTGCACCGTCCCGTAGTTACTGTCGAACATCGTTGACAATGTCCGCAGTCAATCGACTGTCATTTTTCAACCTCTTGGCGATTGACGTCACCAACGTCGTTGAAAATGTCTTTTTTCTGTCTCTCCCTTACTTGTTTCTATTTCTCTATTATCCTTTCTTAATCTTTCAAGCTAATCAAATAGTATGCTGTGGCTTTCTGGAACTTTTCCCTTGATAGCCATAATCTTTTTCTACGTTTTAAACAGTTTCTCGTCTTACATTTGACAAAGTTTTCCTATTTATCGATTTTCGAGACATTCCGACGACATAGTTTAACGCGAGTATTTCATTAACATGTGACGTTTGAATTGTGATTGTAAATATAAATATGGTTTAAATGAAGTCATTTTTACTGACAACGTCAAAGATATGGTACATGACGTTTTGGCGTATTTTGAAATCTAAATGTGCCATATTGTAAAATACACGCAGCATTAAGCGCCTTATGTCAAGGCGAATTTATGCACTGCGCCGGGTGTGCCTTACCATGGTTTTTGAATTCGCTGTTACGGACAAGCTATTTGCGTTATCAGATTAGATATAGTATCAGTTTACAGGTATTGTTTTCCGATTAAGTGTGATATATAACAATAAGTGATAGGATGAAAATTCTTCAATTGCCAGTCACAGTCCGGTTTATTTTTGATCATCCCTCGTATACATGGCTTTATACACTTTTAAATCGACCAAACGACACAAACAAGTTTTATAAGACATAGGCCATGGGTCCATCGACGCCAATGGCTCCATGAAATGCATAGCATAAACACACAAAATCATTATTATTCTAACAATTCAAAGACCATTTAAATCATGACAGGATTTTTCATTATGAAGTGATAAAGCGAGGTGAATAAAAGTGATGAAATATAGTTATTATATATGAAATTGTTTCATTTTAACAGTATTCTTTACTATAGCTGACAGCTTGCCATGTTTGGTTCTTTTGTTGACAGTGCGTATGAATACCTAAATAAGGTTATCAGTCACCTCATTTGCATACGCTCTAAGTATAGGTTAGAGTGCATATTGGGTGTTCTTCGTAAATAAGAAAGCTAAAAAGGAGCGGAGCTTGCGAAGCGACTGTAGCTTTCTTATTTACGAAGAACATCCAATATGCACTCTAACCGGCTTAGTGCTCCGCCCATTTTTTTTCCGCCCAACACACTGCGTGACGTCACACGATAGCCTAAATGTGTATAACCATATTTGGAAGAGGTAGCGGTACACATTTTCGGGTTACGTATTTTGCATAGCTTATTCCCGCATTCTGCATAGCTTATTCCCGCATTCTGTCTAGGTAAATCAGACAATATCACGGTGCATATCCATATCGGTACCCTCTTTGCGAAATATTCTCAAACGGTACCCTCTTTGAACATGCACAGGTCATTCTCTCAATCTCTGCAAAAAACAAACCAGCGATGGATAACAATGCAGTAAAGTTTCATTGTAATAAGGAAAGGAGGTATGACACGTAGAAAAGATGTATACCACGGAACACTAGAATGTTTTATTTATGTGCTGAATTGTCATGTGCCCGATTTCCATGTACTGCAACTTCACAATAAGCTACAAAAAGTCGACATGTCTTGCCTCGCCCGTCACCTCGACATATTTTTCGGGCTGAAATGAACCTGTGGCTTGATTATATATGCATCATACATATTTATTATGTTCATATACATGTCATCTTCGGACAAATGGCAGTATATTGTCAAAAATAAATGTAAAATTCATAAAAACACCCTACTTTCGGTTTTGCAGCGACACGGGCTGTAATATTTACATAAAAAGTAAGAAATATTACATACATACTTTGTTGGAATAAAGTGAACTTTTTATTTGGAATCTATAAAATGATACTGGTTCCGTAAGTAATAAAACATTTTTTACTGTTATTTTGCCTGTTTTCATTTCAATGAACCTCTTTTTTTAATTATATGCCGTAGTGACGATATACATGTGCGTGTACGGAAAAAACATGATGCATAAATATTGATTAGTAGGAGTAAACTTCAAGATCTCTGCACATGCGTATATTTCACTTTAGCGCTCTTCGAAACTTAGCTCCGCCCACTTGCGTTTTATAATATAAAACGTCCAGTTTATATAAAATCTGTTCTATTAAGATTTGAAACCTGAAAATTTGAAAAATCCTCGTCGGTGATTGGCTTAAAAAAATTGGCGAGCACTAAGTTATTACATGGTTTATACTAGTAGTATAATATTGATTTTATTAAATGGCTTTAAAGCCGTAGGTTTATGCAATTAACACATTTTCACAATTCATTCCCTGGCCACATCATTTCCTATTTCCTGTTGTTGTTTTTCATCCAGAACAGGATATTGAAGTCCATACAAATATTAGAAATAACTGCCTGATAATTACAGAGTGAACAATATTTCTTAAAGTGATACAGAGTGAACAATATTTCTTAAAGTGATACAGAGTGAACAATATTTCTTAAAGTGAATACAAGTGATAATAATCAAGATTAGAACAAAGGTAAAAACCCAGATATTGCTCAATTCTAATGATCATTTGTTAGAGGATACTGCTATGAAAAATAAGCACCTCAGGGCAATACGATTATTAGTATTAGTCACTATTCCCAAACAAGAAAGGATTGTTCAGCTTATAATAGGACTCAGAAAATGACTTAGATGGAATCAATCAACCCTTCATGGACACAAGTTTGATCTTCTTTAAAAATTAAAATAAAAAGTCATCAAAATCTCAAATTTGTGGTTGTTTCATTTTTTAATTCAAGGTCATATGTGGCGACTTTGCAGCTTAACTGGTGGACGAAGACAAACAAGACTTATTATGTTGTGTGCCTGTGCTTTTTTTTCTACAGTCAATGAGCTCAGTGAACACATGTCCTTTGTCTTACTAAATACAAATTCTTGTCCTTACTTAGTTATTCTGAAGTTTTATATGGAATAAGGAAGGATTCTTGATAGTTTGACAAACTGAGGAATAATGCTTAAATTCTTTTACACATAAAACAAAGTATTCTAAATCACAGCCTCAGTTCTATTGAAAAACACAGCCTCGAATTTAGAAAAACACAGCCTCAGTTCTATTGAAAAACACAGCCTCGAATTTAGAAAAACACAGCCTCAGTTCTATTGAAAAACACAGCCTCGAATTTAGAAAAACACAGCCTCAGTTCTATTGAAAAACACAGCCTCTGTTTAAGAAACATCCCTACCTTTTTTATAGTGTTCATAATGTCTGGATTTTTCTTCAGCATGACGTGATTTACTGGCAGATGGTCCAAATCTTCCATAACGGCTATACATTTGTCCACGTCCTGAAATGGTTGGTATATTATCATGAATCGAGACATACAAATGCCATAAGTCCTTAACATATCAATGTCCAAGTATATTTATGTAAATATTTTATAAGAGGGGAAAAAGAAAAGTAATTCTTGAGATTGAGACCATTAAAACAGTTCTTTAAATGGGTATACTTATGTATAAAGGAAATCACTTAAAATGTCCTATTAAATCATTCAAAGGGAGTTAACTCTTGTATATTTAAATTGTTTTATTAATGTGTAAAGGGTGGTAACTCTTGCGTCTAAATATCACTGATTTATAAATAAAGATATTGAGAAGGGAAGAAACTCTTACAGCATGCCCAACTTTCTGAAGTGAGCGTTTTATCTCAACGTCCATCTGTATCAGCTTTGCCTCGGTCACAGCAACTAAAATAACACAAAATCTGAACTAACGTCTACATTTACTAGATTATCAAGACAGTATGAACTAACTTTTGAAACTTTGAGAGACATATGACATATTCCATTATCATTAAAAATATTACACATATCAACTTGCAAAAACCAGAAGTTATTCCCCTTTGCCACCAGTATAGAGCAAGACAAGCCTGCTTGTTTCCCTTCCAATATGACCAGGTTATATACTTGGTAGCTCAAATTTTGTATTCTGATATAGTGAAAGAAATTCAAGCTATATGCCTTCAGATGAACCAAAATATTTCAAGAAAATCAAATTTGAGACAAATGTGACTAAGATTTTAAAAGTGAGGTTTGAGATTCGAATAATATTTCACTGTAATGTGCCATTAATGACTGATTTTGCAGTATTTATTACCATATTTCTAACATGACTGTTATAAATTCAATGTAGGACAACTCCATTACATAAATTCCAGAGATTACAGTTAAATTAAGATTGAGAAATGATTGAGAATAATCTATCATTTTTTCACAGTTCACAATCATATATAACAAAAAGACAAACAATTTCTGATAATACAAAATTTTCAAGTTTCTTCTCTTTTTTTGGGTGGGGGGGGGAGGGGGGGGGTGTGGGGAGGTATTATATGTTGTAGCAACACAGTATAGGTCATATCATGGTGATTTTCTAGACTCACTGGTGGAGGAAGACCTGTTGGGTGCCCTTCCGTGCATTATTTCAAACACAAAATGGGCACGTTAAATGCAATAAAAGTAAATGCAATCAAGAAATCTGTGTACGTGCAGCACAGGTATTCCTATCAGTTAGTGTACACAGTTTTTAAAAGTACCCAATTTACATAAAATCTAAAAGCGGTGAATATCTCACAGTTTCTTAGAAATGAAGAAAACAACTCTGAAAACTGCCAAAACTGTTAAAGATATAGGATTGTTTATCATATGTTCATTACTTAAAAATCCAAACTAACAAAATTATTTTCATTATCAATAATATTTATCTTCCTACACACAATATATTTGACTTTATTAACAAAACACATAAGGTAATTCAACTCAAGCTATTATCTTTCATATGCTATTGATGCCCTTCTGTGCATTATATCAAACACAAACTAGGCACATAAAACGAAATCAAAGTAAATGCAATCAAGAAATAAGTGCACATGCAGCACAGGTATTTCTATCAATTAGTCAATTAGTGTACATGTAGTAATTAAAAGTACCCAATTTACATAAAATCTAAAAGCGGTGAATATCTCACAGTTTCTTAGAAATGAAGAAAAACAACTCTGAAAACTGCCAAAACTGTTATCTTTCATATGCTATTGAACTCAAACTATTAACTTTAAACTATCCCTTCCACCAAAAGTTCTTTGACCGCAACCGGAAGTTAATAAAGCAAGATATACATGGAAAAGTAATCGGTAATCAATAGTGCAAGATTTATATAACTGCTACAAAACTTGTCTTCATTTTGGATCATTTGGATCAGATCAGAAGAAAAGGTTACACAACACTATGCTATTGTATGAATAAATACTTTAAGCTAAAATACTTTAAAATCTCTGCTGGGGTCAAAATTTCACTAAAATCCCGTATGACTTATTGCCAAGGTCAAATATTCATATATTTTTTTCTTTCAGTACTTTTTAATTAATTGTTACATAGATACATAATTCATGTACTTTTTTTTTGAGGGGCAGGGTGGGGGGGGGGGGGGGGGGGGTGGGGGGTGCGAAACTGACTTTATTACTGGTAAATCCTTTGTGTAATTTCTGAGTAAAAATAACTGATCATATTTAAATAAATAACTTTCAGGATACCGAACGGAAGTAGAGTAAAAGAAATTTTTACTTTTAAAGTGTTTTTTTTTCTTTAAGGCCTAACACTGGGAACTCTGGCAGAGAAAGACAGCATAGAAACGAGTCTGTCCTTAGGACTTTTCGTGATTTTTCTTTTCTTTTTTTTCTCAAGCTGCACACCAAAATATGTCAAGAAAATCAAACTTGAGCAAAATGTACAAATACTTTAAGAAAAGTTTAAAGATTCCAGTAATTATTTACATGTTGTGTGCAATTAATGACTGATTTTGCAGTATTTATCACCATATTTCTACTGTATGACTAACACAATAAGGGCTATTTTTTAAATATTTTTTCTCCTTTGGGTAATTTATGCAGATTGTAACTGCTGTTTTGCAATGTGTAAATAACTTTTTTTGTTCCCTTCACATCATTATACTTTTAAATACATTTTCATGAAATTTTGCTTTCATACTGGTATGGCCTTTAGCCTTTAGCAGTGGGGATTTTGAACAACTGTAAAGAGACTTTCTCAAATAAGGGTAATTTTTACATGAAGCATTAAACAGAAAACTTTTCTGAGCTTCATTTCAAAGTGCCTAAAATAATGTATCAATCAAACTTACAGCTTATCTTTTCTTTCTTTCGGTCTTCTTTCTTTTTCTCTAATTTGAGCTTTTTTAATCTTTCTTTTTCCTCTTCTTTTTCTTTCCTGAAATACCCGAAATTATGCAGCTAGATTTTGTTTACTTTCTTAAAAATATGAAATAATTATATATTAACTTCATTCCGCTTTTTTTTTTCTCTCTTCAGGAAAAATAAAATTATCACATAACTATGCAACTTTTTTTTTTACCTCCTGGCCTGAAAATTGAAATTAACACCTTTATTTTCCATTTTTTTCCTCATTTTCAATTAACATGGCAAAAGACTTCTGGAAATATCAGAAAAATGAAGCAACAGTTTCACTTACAATCTCCTCTCTTTTTCCTTCTGTTTTTCTAATTTTTCTTGTCTTTTTCTTTTGATAACTTCTTCAATTTGTCTCTTCTCTTCTTCTGAATCTTTTGTTCTTGATTCCTACAAAAATCACAAACATTTAAATTTATCAAATATGAGTCAGGGCAATAATTACCTTATATTGGACTTTGGGTTAAGGGCCCTTGGAGGAATTTCAGGTAGTTAAAAGAAATGGATTTATTTTGTTTCCCATCACCAGGGAAAGAAATAAGGCCCAATTTACAAACCAAAATAGCCCCCCCCACCCCCAGTTTCATATTAATTTTTTTTTTACATCCGAATATATTCCTAAAAGTACAAACCTGCTCTGATTTGTTCCTATCCGTCTCTGTAACTTTGGATTTCTCTGATTTTGTTTCTTCCTTATTGTTCTTATCACTATCATCCTTTTCTATTTTCTCTTTCTCATTGTCTACATTCACTTTGTCTTTTTCTACTTTCACTTTGTCTTTTTCTACTTTCACTTTGTCTTTTTCATCTTTCCCTACCTTTCCATCTGTTTCAGTTTTATCAATGCTATCTCCTTCTTTGTCAAGTTTATCTTTTAACTTTTCTTTCACTTTTTGAGACACTATTTCCGGTTTATTGGACTTTTCTGATTTCACTTTGTCTACACTTTTTCTACGTTCCTCTTTATGATTTACAGGAGAGTCATCACTTGAATGCTTAGAGTCTTTCACATTGTCTTTTGGCATATCTTTCAAGTCTTTTTGCGTGTCTTTTGTGACTTTGGGTTCTTTTTGTTTGGATGATTTCGGTGTTTTGTCCTTAGTTTCCGCTTTAACTTCTGGTGATTTTAGTTCTTTCTTGGTCGGTGAAACTTCAGCCTCCTGAAATGCAATTAAAATCATGGCTGTAAAAGAATTTTGTGTCCTTAGCATCTTAAAGCTACATGCCTCCAGATAAGAAAAATATTTCAATAAATCAAACTTTAAAAAAATATTACTTAGACTTTAGGAAAGTAAAAATATGAAAGATTCAAGTAATAATTGACATGCTATATGTGGTTATGACTGATTTTTTCTCAATATTATGACTATATTTCTACTGCTTTACGAACACAGTAAGGGCTTTTTTTGCACAATTTTACCTCATTTTTTGTAGTTTATATGAGTTTTAAGTGCAATGAATTAGGTGTAAATTGCTTCCTTTTGGGCACTACAGATTATAATAGGTTTACACATATTTTAACATTTTTCATGAAAATAAGTATAAATCTGGAGGCGTGCCGCTTTAACCCGGTCAACAAAGAATTAAATGTCATTGTTGTAACTTGCCATTGTAAGTGTCGGCTCAAGTCACTAGTATCTAAGAACTTAAATACGTTACTGTATGCTTACCTCTCCATCGAAGAATTTCTTCTTTTTCCTTTCTCTTTTTGGTCTATCTCCAGGGGAAGATTCTTCATCGTTGTCTTCGTTCTCCTGTTCTATCTTCATTTCTTGTTTAGCTTTCTTGATCCTCTCGGCCTCCTCTTTACGTTTCCTTAAAAACAAAAAATTGGGGAAATTAACAGACAATATGGGAAAATTTATAAAACAATTGGGAAAAATTTAATAAACAGTTGGGGAAAAATCAATACACATTTGGGGAAAATTTAATAAACAATTGGGGAAAATTTAATAAACAATTGGGGAAAATTTGATAAACTATTGGGAAAAATTTAATAAACTAGTGGGAAAAATTTAATAAACAATTGGGAAAAATTTAATAATAAAACAAGAGCCATCAGTAGCAGCATGCTTAACTATTCTCAGAGATTGATAGTCAAACAAGAGACTATTACTGTAGAATTTTCTTAGTTCAAAAAGGGGCCATTATTTTGTCAAAATCCATGTTAGAGTTATGGTCCTTTGACAGTGATCTCCTATTATGTTCTCAATTAAATGTGTGAAGTTACCACCCATTCCTTTCAGCAGTTTTGGATATACTAATTTCCTCATAAAAATCTAACAACGACGTAGCTGACACATGAGTGAATACAATAACACTTCTTATTCTTTGAATAATTGAGTAAAAAATGGTAAAATTCTATAATGCTACTAACAAATGTACTTGTTCTCCGGATGATAAAATGCATAAGTAATACATGTAGAATTTCTGATTTAAAATACAACAGCAACAACATATATTTGCATAAAAATGGCTTGGTAAAGAGAAGTATTAACAATCTTTGAGAATGCTTAAGACAACATTTGGAATTTTCAAAAATTTCTGTCCATTCTGTTAGGTGATAATACAGTTGTAAATAAGTCATGATTTTCATTTTTACCCCCCCCCCCCCCCTGCCACAGAAAAACAAATACATGCATTTGAATATGTCCAAAAATCATCTTGTTAGGCTAAACACAATCTTTGAGAATGTTAATATCAGCTAAAATATTAAATATTTTAAGAAAATCAAACATCGGAAAAACATACTAAAATTGCAAGAAAAGTTAAAAGATTCAAGTAATAAGTTATATCATATCTATGATTTATGACTGATTTTGCAGTAATTCCTTTATGTATCAACATTTATCTTACTAACGCAGAAAGGGTTGTTTTTCATGCATATTTTGGCCTCTTTTTGGTAATTTACAATGGTATTTGCAATTTGTAAATTACTTCATTTGTTCACTTCACAATATTTTACTTTTAAGACACATTTTCAATTTTTTCATGAAAATTAGATGAATCTGGAGGTGTGCTGCTTTAAAAACTGAATTAGGAATTTTTAACAGTTTTGTCTATAGGGAAAAAGGTCTATTTCAAATTCCTACATGTACTTCATGCAAAAAAAACCAACTCATAAGTATAGTAATTATAGTATTTTCCTTTCATTAAATGTAAAAAAAAAAACAACTACAAAAACCCTGTAGTGAAAGACAAATAATTTCATATACAAAAAGGGAGATAACTCAATCAAGCATAAGAGATTGATATTGGTTAGTGGTAGGTATAGATTCAAAGGTAAACCTTCGATGAAATATAAAAATTGGAAGTTGCTAAACAATTTTAACTAACCCCAAGCATTTTAATGGTTAAGTCAAGAGAGCTTACAGTCCCTTATACTGCATCACTTTTTCAAAATAATTTCGCATTTTCATGTGAGCAGTACTTACATTGTTTAAAACAGACCTAACATAAGTCATACACCTAAACAAAACAAAGTTTTAATGCAAAATATTTTAAATAGTCTGTTGAATTTTGAGCTTATGCCTGAAACATCTTTTTCCAAATGTTAATTTTCGTGGAAAAAAACCTAGTTTGATATAACATTTAGTTATTTTAACTGAAATACAAAAAAAAAACTTCTAGATTAATGATGACTTTTCAGGAAACATATGGTCTATGTCTGGCACATGAAATGCCCTTTTGCTAGTATATTCTGTTATTTCATTGCGTCATTTAGTATTTGTTTTGTTTGGTTTTATGGCACACCAACACAGTTCAGGAAAGATGACTTTGGCCAACTTCAGGTGCCACAAATTCAAAGCAACACCAGGGGCCTAAACCTCGTCACCTGCTGGAGCTACAAGATGCATATACTCTTATATGTATCATGTAGTAGAAAACACTCAAAGTTGTAGCATATAATAGTTACTTGTATTGTCAATTCATTGTTTGTTTTCCTTCTTGTTTTAAAGCATTGAATACCACCATCTTTGAGGAGCCCAGTATAATGCCAGTGCCAATGTAGGCAGAATTATGATTTGCTATTATTTGAATAGTCAAGCTTTTTCTTTCTTGCCTTTCCCATAAAAACTTACTTTTCACTAGCCTCCTCTATCTTCCTCTGTAGTTCCTTCTTTCGTTCTTCTTCTTTTTTCTTCCATCCACTCAAGTCAATGTCATCAGACTCACTACTACAAATTTAAAAACAATAAAAAAATATATAACAACAAATGATACATATACCCCATTGCCCCCTTTACTTGTAATGGGTAGAGAGAATAATTAGTTATTATAAATTTAACAGAGAAACTGGTAACTAGTATATAACAATGTGTTTATGAATAAGGTAAAATGTACACAATTACATGCATCTACTGCACTGCTCTTGAAATATACCTTTCAGTGAAATATATTCCGATCTTACACTAAACTAACAAATTTTATTTTTACTATATGCAAAGAAACTTTTAAAAAAACATTTTAACCTAATAACTAGGGGAAAAAAGCTTTAGTCTTTAAGTTGGTTTCCAGTACTATGCACACAGGTATTTCACTGAAACAGGCTTAAATTCGAAACAGTGAAAAATATCAAATTGATATTTTTCGCTGTTTCAAACAGTGAAAATATCAGTTTTATATTTCACTGATATATTTCTATAAACCACAGAAAAGCATGTAATAAACTATTTTCTAGTGCAATATGATACAAAATGTTCAAGTCACTGTTACCTACCTGTCACTAAGTGAGCTCAGACTGTCACTAACTTCATCCTCCTCCCCAATATCTTGCTTTTTCTTCCGACCAGCTGCTGTCTTTTTTGCTGGTGTCGCTATTTCAATAGATAATTTAGTTTAACATGAAATAATACAAGGTAGTTGTAAAGGCTAAATCAATGGCAGGTGTAAAATAAATCATATTCCAAAACCAAAGATATCATCTGCAAAACTGGATCTCCACTAAACTGGAATCCAGAACATTTGTCAGGTCACTACCATGTCAAGTATAGTGAGTTTTTACTGTGTTTTTTCCCCCTCCTAAATCCCTAAAGATTCCCCTTAGAAATGTGTGTTTGTTTGATTGGGTTTTACTTCACACCGACACAGTAAATGTCATATGGCGACATTTCAGCTTTACTGGTGGAGGAAGACCTCAGCTGCCCTTCCGTGCATTATTTCAGGCACATAACGGGCACCTGAGTAGAACCACCAACATTCAAAAATCTAGCTGGATAGCTTCCTTGCATGAAAGAATCCAAAGTCCCTGTTGGGATTCGAACCCACAGCAGTGAGGGGCAAGTGGTTTGAAGTCAACGCCCTTATCCATCTGGCCATGGACACTCTAGAAACGTGTTTATTGTTATAAATATGTTGGTTGTTTTATGTAAATTTTGTACAATTTTTTTTCTGGCTAAAAATCTGACAAAAATTCCAAAAGCATGCAGACATATTTGTATGATATGCAAGATGTTCTAGTTTTACTTCACAAATATAAATTAAGCAGCTATTTTTAAATGTATAGTTCAAAATATGGAAACATTTACATTCCATATGTTTGGTTGAAATTTTTACATTATTTTTCTTTTTGGTGGGGAATTTTAAGTCATACCAGCACTACAATGGTGATAATTATGGTGACTTTCCAGCTGTCCAGGTCCAGGAAGACCTCAGGTGGCGTGGCACTCCCTTCCTTATTTCAGGACTTAAGCAAGTACATCAGTAGAACTATCAAAGATCGTTAAGCTAGCTAGATAGCTTCCTCACATGAACAAAATCAAAGTCCCTGACATCATTCAAATCAATATGTGAGGGGAAATGTCGTTTAAAGTCAACTACCGAAAACACTCACTTACAGACACCCTACTTTCATCACTATATCTATAGGCAGAAGGCAATGAAAAAAGACCCCAATGAATTCTAACCTTTCTTAGCACTACCACCTGTGCTCTGTTTACGAGGTTTTGGCGTCTTTTTGGCAGGTTTTTCCGTCTCTTCTTCCTCGTCACTGCTTTCGTCGGCCTTCTTCTTCGGGGGCCGACCTCGCTTCTTTGTCGACTTCTTGGGAGTTTCTTCAATTTCAAAATCCTATAATGACGTAATTAAAAGGTAAATAATTGTTCAATCTTGTTATAACAAAAAGTTAGTATGTGTATATATTGTATATCCTCATTCTTTACAAAGACAGTACATCTATAATTTATGAATATATACACAAATAAAAGTAAGTTTCTGGGAAATGCAAAAAATAAATATTGTTCACTTTTTATATATGTTTATTTCGGTTCGAGCTTTCAGTCATCGAATTTAGCACTGACCCGGTGGCACATGGCCAGTGAAAATTAGTTTGGGCCAGTGAAAATGTAAGAAAATATAGTTAAATATATAGTAGAATAAATTCAAAACTGGAATTTGGGCTAGTAAATTCAAAATCTTTAATTCATTGACTGCGCTTTCAAATTTGTACACATATCTCCAACAAAATCTGATTAAAAAGTGACCCATATTTATAATTAACCTGAATTTTGAGCAAATGCCTGAAAGCTTGCAATTTTCTCCTGGCCATTTAACCTAAAATTTCCCAATTGAATTTCAGACGCAGTTTGCTGCCAAAAAAAATCAATAAATGAAAAAAATATGTTATATCCGGGACAAGCAATCTGCAACAGACCAAGCGACCGCCAGCTGACCCCATTTTGCCCCCACAAACTTCATTTGTCTAGGGTATAACAATACCCATTCAACTCACCTCATCATCAGGATTGTCAGACGGAGATTCTACTTCTTCTTCTTCTTCCACTTCATCTTCTTCTTCACCATCCTCAGCTTTTTTCTCTACTTTTTTCCGTTTCGCTGCCGGCTTGCCACTCGGACTGGTCTTTTTCTTTCTCTTCACGCCTGCTTTCCCCTTCTGTAAACATGATAATAGAACATTATATTTCCGGTGCAATGATATAAACACATACTTCAAAAGTTTTCCGGTATTTATTTTTTGAAACTGGCTTTTGAAAAAAAACTAGAAATGTGTCCATAGGACATGGGTGCCCCCACACTCCACTGATTTGTCAATCTTATGTGTCTAGGTTAAATATATTTTTTTTTTGCTACATGTGCCCAAGTTGAAAACTAAAAATCTTTTTGAAGTAAAGGGCAAATACTACAAATACTGAATAAATCCACAAGAAAACCCCAAGGTGCATAAGTACACATGCTGACCAACATTCTTGTAAACTTTCAGGCCTACAGGTCATAAACGTTTTGAGTTACGTGCAACACGAGTTAAATATTGTAAATTTTTACTAAGTCAAGGGCAATAACTGTACAAATACTAAATATATCCACATGAAAATACCCAGGTGCACAACTTCACATGCAGATCAACATTCCTGTAAGGTTTCATGACTCTAGTTCAATTACTTTTTGAGCTATGTTCGACACAAAAAGGGAACAGACGGACGGATGAACGAACAAGGGTAAATCTAAATGCCTCCCCCCCAAAGCAAGTGACAAACTTTATATCTGTATCAAGGTTAAGTAACTGCTACTGCTTATCTACCCATTTCAAGAAAGAATTATCTTAATAAGTTACGTATCTTATATAAACGTCCACCCCATGTTATATAATTTCCCCAAAAATGGTATGTAAAATGGATTTCAAATTCCCAAATACAATGATAAACATTATTCACATAATGGGAAACTGCACAATGATGTTATCAGCTTAAAGTCTTTAATTATAATATATGCATACAGGGATATAAATTAATAAACTTTTGCTCAATAGAATTCCTATGAACATGGGGGAGGGGGGGGGGGGTTGAAAGGAAACATAAAGGTTGGGGTGTGGGGAGGTCGGAAACTTATAATTGTTAAATCTTACCTGTTTAGTTTGATCAGGTGCCTCGACTTCCTCCTCAGACACTTCTGCAACTTCTTCTTTCTCCTCTTCTACTGCCTGTAAAACACAGCAAAGATTGGTGAAAAACTACAACTAAGAATGTTAAAACTACCAGAAAGAATGAAAACACAACAAAAATGAAGCTTTGAAGGAAAAATAAATCAAAAATGATGTAAATATACATTAAAATATTTAGTTAGATACAGAGGGTGAAAGATCAGGGAAAGATATATATAACAAGAGCACCGAAAGTGTTTTTTTTTTAGTAAGGATGAAGCATTTGTAAGAAATGGGAATAAGCTCTTCATCCTATAAAATTTTACAGCTGTAGGTTGATTAATACTTAAGTTATAAATAATGACCTTAACCTTTGACCTTGTGACCCCAAAATCAATAGGGGTCTTCTTCCTATATGGACAATAATCCCATGAAGTTTGAATATTGTGGGCCAAATGGAACTTTACTTATGCTCCGGAAACTGTTTTCAATTTTAAGTAATAGTGACCTTGACCTTTGACCTTGTGACCCAAAAATCAATAGGGGTCTTCTATCCAATATGCACAATCATACTATGAAGTTTGAATATTGTGGGCCAAATGGAACTTAAGTTATGCTCCGGAAACTGTTCTCAGAATCAAGGTAAAAGTGACTTTGACCTTGTGACCCCAAAATCAATAGGGGTCTCCTACCTAATATGGACAATCATTCTCTGGAGTTGGAATATTGTGGGTCAAATGGAACTTAAGTTATGCTCCGGAAACTGTTTTCAATTTTAAGGTTAAAGAGACCTTGACCTTTGACCTTTTGACCCCAAAATCAATAGGGGTCTTCTACCCATTATGGCCAATAATCCCATGAATTTTTAATATTGTGGGCCAACTGGAACTTAAGTTATGCTCCGGAAACTGTTTTCAGTATCAAAGTAATAGTGACCTTGACCACTGACCTTGTGACCCCAAAATCAATAGGGGTCTTCTACCCAATATGGACAATCATCCTATGAAGTTTGAACATTGTGGGCCAAATGGAACTTAAGTTATGCTCCGGAAACCAAATTGCTAACAGACGGACCTGTTTTCAGTTTTAAGGTAAAAGTGACCTTTGACCTTTTGACCCTAAAATCAATAGAGGTCTTCTACCCAATATGGACAATCATCCTTTGAAGTTTGAACATTGTGGGCCAAATGGAACTTGAGTGATGCTCCGGAAACCAAATTGCTAACAGACGGACCTGTTTTCAGTTTTAAGGTAAAAGTGACCTTGACCTTTGACCTTTTGATCCTTAAATCAATAGGGGTCTTCTACCCAATATGGACAATCATCCTATGAAGTTTGAACATTGTGGGCCAAATGGAACTTAAGTTAAGCTCCGGAAATAAATTGCCAACAGACGGACCTGTTTTCAGTTTTAAGGTAATGGTGACCTTGACCTTTTGACTCGAAAATCAATAGGGGTCTTCTACCCAATATGGACAATCATCCTATGAAGTTTGAACATTGTGGGCCAAATGGAACTTAAGTTATGCTCCGGAAACCAAATTGCTAACGGATGGACCTGTTTTCAGTTTTAAGGTAATAGTGACCTTGACCTTTAGACCCCAAAATCAATAGGGGTCTTCTACCCAATATGGACAATCATCCTATGAAGTTTGAACATTGTGGGCCAAATGGAACTTAAGTGATGCTCCGGAAACCAAATTGCTAACTGACGGGCCAGGGGGTATAACATAATATGCCCTTTCGGGCATATAAAAAGAAAGAAAAAAACCTATACGGCATAACATAGAAAAGATTCAGCGGAAAAAAATAAAAGCAAAATAAAGAAAAGATTGGGGAACACAAGTGACATTATTGGGAAAAAATATAACGAAAGATAAAAACTAGAAATGTGTCCATAGGACACGGGTGCCCCCACCGCACCACTGTTCTGTCAATCTTTTTACTAAGTCAAGGGAAATAACTCTATAAATACTGGATAAATCCACAAGCGAAACCCCAGGTGCAAATCTAAATATGCTGAGCAACCTGCCCATAAGGTTTAATGACTCTATGTCAAATCCTTTTTGAGTAACTTGCGACACAAGTTGAAAACTGCAAAAATTTTCTAAGTCAAGGGCAATAACTCTAAAAATACTAAATAAATCCAGACGAAAATACCTGGGGGCCGTTTTATCAACGTGTCGTAGTCTACGACAATTTTTTGTCGGTGTCGTACGTCTGCGACAACGTCGTACGACCGTTTTATGAAACGTGTCGCAGACGTTGTGTGTTTCTGCGACGTCGCAGCCTTTGTCGTAGACAATAATTCTTGCGAGACACAGTCTAGCCAGTGCGCGTTTTGACGTCACATATGAAATCAAAGTACTTAAAGTACTGAACGAATTA